TTGCAGGAATTCGAAAATGTTTCCAGGAGGATGTACCAAGTGGGTTGCCACCAATTCGAGGCATTGAGCACTAGATCGACTTCATACCTGGAGCTATCATCCCAAACCGATCGGCTTACCGAAGCAATCCTAAGGAGACAAAGGAGTTTCAGAGGCAAGTGGACGAGTTGATGAGCAAAAGCTATGTGAGGGAGAGTATGAGTCCATGTGCTGTACCTGTTATGCTGGTGGGTGCCAAAGAAGGACGGGACTTGGAGAATGTGTGTGGATTGCAGAGCTATCAATAACTTAACGGTAAAGTATCGTCATCCCATACTCGTCATCCCATACTTAGGTTAGATGATATGGTAGATGAATTACATGGTGCTTGCATTTTTAGTAAAATTTATCTTAAGAGCGAGTATCATTAAATTCTTATGCGGGAGGGTGATGAAAGGAAAACGGCATTTAAAACTAAATATGGATTGTATGAATGACTAGTTATGCCATTTGGTCTCACTAATGCACCGAGTACTTTCATGCGTTTGATGAATCATGTTTTGCATGCTTTCATAGATAAATTTGTTGTAGTTTATTTTGATGACATTTTAATCTATAATAAAGACCTAGATGAGCATTTGGAAAATTTGAAATGCGTGCTTGTTGTGTTAAGAAAGGAACAATTGTATGCTAATTTTAAGAAGTGCACGTTTTGCATGGATAAAGTTGCTTTCCTAGGATTTGTGGTTAGTGCTAATGGGGTAGAAGTAGATGAAGAAAAGGTAAGAGCTATTAAGGATTGGCCAACACCTTAGGCGATTTGTAAGAGATTTTAGCACCATCACCGTACTATTAATTGAGATTGTTAAGAAAAGCGTAGGTTTTCACTGGGGTGAAGCGCAAGAACAAACATTTAACACTATTAAAGACAAATTGTATAAAGCACCTATTTTGGCATTACCTAATTTTGATAAAATATTCGAGATTGAATGTGATGCCTCAAGAATAGATATTGAAGCAATGTTAATGCAGGAACGAAGGCCTATTGCTTACTTTAGCGAGAAGTTGAGTGGAGCTACACTAAACTGTCCAACATATGAGAAGGAGCTGTACTCACTCGTTCGAGCATTGGAGACTTGGTAGCATTACTTGTGGCCTAAGGAGTTCGTGATACACATCGATCATGAATCTATAAAGCACTTGCGAGGTCAAGGTAAGTTGAACAAGCGACTATAAGATGGATGGAATTCATAGAAACCTTTCCCTACGTTATCCGGTATAAACAAGGTAATGAAAATGTGGTGGCGGATGCGTTGTCTTGGAGGTACGTGCTTCTTAACTCTTTAAGTACAAGGTTACATCTATGAATCTTGTGCCCTAGCTGTTGACAAATTTTATAAACATAAGGAATATTTATTTAGAGGAAGTAAATTGTGTGTTCCTAATTCTTCTATGTGTAAGTTGTTGGTAAGGGAAGCACAAAGTGGAGGACTAATGGGTCACTTTGGGGTTTAAAAAACTTTAGAAATATTAGGGGAACATTTTTATTGGCCTAAAATGAGATGTGACGTAGAACGAATTTGTGGAAAATGCATAACTTGTAAAAATGCTAAGTCTAAGGTTTTACCCCATGGTTTATATACTCCTTTACCTGTACCTAGTGAACCTTGGGTGGATATATCAATGGATTTTGTATTAGGTTTGCCGAGGACAAAAAGGGGTCGGGATTCAATCTATGTAGTGGTTGATAGGTTTATTAAAATGATACACTTTATACCATGTCACAAAATCGATGATGCCACTAATATTGCATATTTGTTCTTCAGGGAAATAGTGTATTTACATGGGGTCCCTAAGAGCATAGTGTTAGATCGAGATGTTAAGTTTTTTGGGTTGAAGGTCGAAGAGACTTGGATCAACATGATAAAGGTGGATGAAAAAGAGGTTACTGAGCAAAGCCATAGGATTGCACAGCTCAGTGGTGCTTGTGATCACACAGACCTATGCAAGGAATTACTGGGGAAATTTTTTTAATTCCATGCGGCCTTATGGAATTGAACCACGTGACCGCATGGTACAAATTTTGACGCGTTTTTTTTTTAATTTTCGCAAATTTCCATATTTGTTTAGAATTCCATATCTACACGATTTTTACCATAATTAAAAGATCATGCACGATTTTTACCTAGGTTTAGGAGGCTAGTATAAACACTTTACATCTTCATTGTATTAAGAACTTTTGACAATTTGATAATTGAGATGTTATTGCTTTCTTCCATTGTTCTTCTTTGAATAACTACTTGAACTTATCAAGGATTAAATCTTTGTGGCGTTCAACATCGGATTGTGAGTTCTTCAACTTGTAAACAAGGGGTTCATCGTATTATAGTTGTCTTCGTGAAGGCGAGAGGCCAAGGGAGCAACGGCCATGAGGGGATACCAAGGAAACCCGAAGGACGCCCCGGTCCAAGAAATTTACACTATTTAGAGGACCCTATGTTGGGAGAGAAACGAGGAATGCACAAAGGAACTACGTTAGGGAAGCTAAAGGCTCTCCACTAACTAGCTATATAGTGGATGGCAGTTCTCAAAAGAGCCAAGTACCAGCAATTGTATTCACCCAAGAAGATGCAGAAGGCATCCACTTCTCACATAGTGACACCCTGGTTGTAAGGGTCGTAGTGGTCCGAAACCGGCTAAAACAAATGCTAGTGGACAATGGCATCTCCATCAACATTCTCTATAGGACCACCTTTGACAAAATGATTGTGGATCATAAAATTACTTTCGTTACCACCCTCTATATAGCTTCACCGGAGATAGCATCACCCCTAGGGAGAAAATTAACACTTGCAGTTGAGATGGGAGAATCACCTCAAGTGAGTTTAAACATCATGGAATTCTTGATAGTGGACAGCAGATCAACCTATCATGGAGTCTTGGGTAGGCCATCTCTGAAGGACTTGGGAGCCGTAACCTTAATTCGCCATCTATGCATGAAATTTCCGAATGAGCAGGGTATAGCAACAGTTAGGGGATCGAGAAAAATTATTATTTTATAGTATTATTATTTCATTTATCGATAAATGAATATTTATTAATTTATAGAGTATTTTATATTTTTATATCTTGTATTATATTTTGCCATAACACATGTTGGGAATAAAAAAATAAAAACTGAATGTGCCATGATTCAAAATTTAATCGTAACCACAGAAAAGGCTATTGACGGTTATTTGAGGTATTATATCAAAGAAATGTATAATTGAAAACCTATGTCGAAGAACATGGAATTTTGAATGGGTTTGTGAGATAAAGGCTTATTCTTTGATCTTCTTGTTATTATATGATGCTAAACACTTGAATTAAAGATTTGAAATCGGAATTCTCCATTGTTTTAAGCAATTTTTGAGCTACTGTAATACTGGTGCTGTTTTTGAAATTCTGTCCAAATGTTACTATTTCTGTTAGTTGGGTTGGAGACAATTTTCAATAAATAGACATTGGTGTCTCAGTTCAATATTTTGGATAGTGCTAGTTTTGTCAATCATGTGATTTTCATGGATATTTTATTATGGAAACCAAATTAAGTGTTAAATATTGAGGATTAGGTGTTACACTAATTCATATAAATGAGTATATTATGTTAGTGACCCTAATTGTGATTATAAGATTAAAAATAAAAGATATCAAGTTCCTATTAGCAAATTATTATTTCTAAGGGTAGGGAAATGATTAAGGCACATTGATGAAGAGATATGATTTCTAGGGACGAGTGCAAGATATCATACTTAGTTTTTGAATGAATGAGGAGGTGACAAGAAGATTGGAGCTACAATCGGTCTTTAACTTGGTGAGTTGAAGAGCTGAAATATTTTCAAGTATTGATAAATTAATTATACTATTACATTATGTGCAATAATATGTTTGATTACATGATTATTATGAAAAGTTTCTTTTATATGATACATGTGGAATTTCAAAGATTGTATATGATACCTTTGTGAATTGGAATGCGAGACGTATGTGATATTGAGATCGACCAGAAAAGTATCCATAATCATATTCTTTTTCTAATTCACTTAAGGGCATTGGCCGTATTCTATGGTATTCTATACTACATGGAGGGTCTTGACTGTAGATGAAGGTCTTGACCGTGTACATATAGTTTATTAAGGGCCTTAGTTGTGTTTTAGAATTGATTGAGGGATCTTTGATACCCGCTTTCACTCATTGAGGGGGCCTGAGGCCCTCCCAGGGAGTGCTTAGCCTTAGCTGCTGTCTACGCACGTACGACCAGATTATTGATGTTAGTCACACGGTACATTTTTGGTGATTTTTCAGTACATTTGACGTGATAAGATTATAGTTTCATGACTATGAGATGATTTTTTTCAATGTCTAAAATTATGTGGTGTTATCTTGTGAATTATTAAATGATATGAACTCAAGTTTTGATAAATACGTACAAAGGAGAAAGTATAACTATTTGCAAAATTTTCTACTCACCGAGTTATTAACTCGCGCATTTTCCTACTATTTTTCTTACAGATAGCATTGATTCTTGATAGCTTGAGGAGCTTGACGAATTCAGAGTTATAGCCACACGACATGTTGTGTTATATGATTCATTTTGGGAGAGCATGAAGTAATTATTTTGGGCCCTCATAAGCAATTGATTTTGGAACATAATTAACTATTAACTCAATAATCAACCTTGGTGGTGGATCTGGCATCCAGTCAGCATCTACCACCGGAGAGTGACTCGGGACGGGTCGTGCCAAATAGGGTTTATTTGCCATATTTCAACCAGTCAAAAATTAAGACAAAGAAGTTTCTATTGGCCAGTGTGGATAATTTCTTGGCGATACTTTGTTCGATTAGAAGAGCTTTAATATAAAGTTGACCCACCTTGATCGGGAAAGTTTCTGAAACAGACCCTTAATCTCCCTCGTGAATATTGAAGAACACAAATGGCAAAGAAAAAGGAAACTCATAAGAAAGCAGATCGACAACATAAATAATTATGAAGTTGGGACATATATATATGTAATTAATATCAGCAAATATTAGCTGTTTATTTTGTTTCTATTCTTCACAGTTCAATCCTATTCAATCCTCTTCTTATTCTTCTTCCTCTATCTCTGCAACTTAGCCTTCAATTTCCACTTGTTTTTTCCATCATCATCCCCAGTCTCCTTACGCTCTTTTATGTAATAAGGAAGCTTGCCAATCATCAATCCCAGAAATAGGGTAACACCTGCAAATCATGAAATCCCAGTTCCTCAATTTTTATTTATTTAATTTTAAACTGAATTTCCTTTTAATTGAGGAAAAATTAGAAAAAGCAAAGAGTTCACCTAAAAGTGAGGCTTCATGAAGATGGTAGGCCAAGATGAACTGATCCGTGACATTAAGTGGGCTACCTTCCGTTAATTGCTTCTGAGTGTTTATTATACCATACAGAATGGACGCCAAAATCACAAACAAAATCCCTCCGGCGGTCATGGACGCCACCATCGGGCCTCGGTTGCTCTTTGCCCAGTCTAACAAACGGAGCAGTGGCTTCTGCAAAGGTGTTCTATACAGAAGCAGCAGTATCACAAAGACTTCTGCGAACAGCAGAAAAAACAAAGGCTGAAGCATTTTTTCTTCTGTGATTTTTTTTCAACTAGGGTTCTTGAACGGTAGGTATTAATATTTAAACAGATAAAATCTTGTACTTAGCAATTGGGGAGAATCTAGGAGACGTGGCAAATATGTGGAGGAATAAAAGAAACCGTGGTACCAAAGAACAAAAGTGCTTTTCATTATCAATCCAGGAAACGTATTTGTCAACCTGGAATCAAAGCTGAAACATGTATTGCATGGAAAGCGGGTCCGGGACGTGTTCGAGTTTCTTCTGGTATGATGATGACCATTCATTGATTGAAAAATATCCCAGTCTACAGTATACCCCTGGTCAGATTATGGAATTTGTCCAGGAAGATTCTTGGAACATGGGAAAGTTGCAGGAGTGTCGTTACGCGCCAAAAAAAGAAAAAAAAAAAAATCGTAAGGTTTCCATTTGTAAACAACTAGAGGACACCCCATTTTGGTGAGATGCAAGCAATGGAGAATGTCGTATAAAATTGCCTTGAGAAAAATAAGACAAAAGGATCCTGTGGATACCAAATTTTGGAGCCATTTTGATTTAGAATTATGTCGTTTGATTTTGGACGAGCTAGTACCAATTCAATCTTAAGAGGAAAAAATCGTAAGGTTTCAATTTGTAAACAACTAGAGGACACCCCATTTTGGTGAGATGCAAGCAATGGAGAATGTCGTATAAAATTGCCTTGAGAAAAATAAGACAAAAGGATCCGGTGGATACCAAATTTTGGAGCCATTTTGATTTAGAATTATGTCGTTTGATTTTGGACGAGCTAGTACCAATTCAATCTTAAGAGAATGGATCTCTAGGGGCAATCACTGCAAGATATTCAAGGGGAAGATTTCTTTGGACAGGGAGCATGGAAATGTTTCAAAGAGGCAACCAAAGAAATGGGAAATCGGCTTAGGCAGAAAAATAAAAAAAAGCTAGCAGTGGTGACATGGAAAAAACCGAGCTGCGGTGAATACGAACCGGGCTGAGGTTATGTTAGGTTTAGAATTTGGGTAGAAGTGGATTCATTAGTTGCACTTGAACGAATCACCAAATGTCAGTGCTGTACACGAAATCATGGTCGAGGAAATAATGAGTATACTGAAGCTAGTTAATGCAAAAGCGCCCCTTATCTTTCGGGGAGGTAATATGGCGGTAGATTTTTTTGGCTAACAAGAGGCAACATTCCCGGCTAGAACACAATTTATATTGGAAGCGAAAAATGTGAGGGATAAGCCACCGGGTCTTCGTAGGATAGATCGCAAGTCCCTCGACTCAAGTATAAAGCCTAGTAATATGTATAGGAAAGTAGAACATTATGATCATTGTGAGGGACATAGTATTTCCTGATTTTTATTTCAAACCTTAAAAACATGTTTTACGTGATAATTTATATGTGTTGAGTCAAGGTGTATGCCCGACTTTGTGTACTCTATTTCTCTATCAATTAAGAAGGTTGGG